CGTTGTTCCCCCTTTTCCCCCCAATACCCCCGCGCCCCCCAGGAGCAGCTGCTGGCCCGGGACCTGTCCCGCCTGCCCCGGCCCAAGCGGCGGCTGCTGGCCAACCTGGAGGAGCTGCTGGCCCGCGACCTGCCCGCCCTGAGCCCGCTGCTGGCCGAGGAGGAGCCCGGCGAGCCCGGCGTGCGCGGCGGCGCCTTCGACAGCGCCCTGGGGCCCTTCGGGGCCAGCTCCGAGGAGGACGGCGAGGATGACGACGGCGGCGACGACGAGGAGTGGGTGGTGATGAAGGACAAGGCCAAGTACGACGAGATCTTCTACGGGCTGGCGCCCAGCGGGGGCAAGCTGAGCGGGCGGCGGGCCAAGGGCTGGATGGTGGCCAGCAACCTGCCCAGCTCGGTGCTGGGCCGCATCTGGCAGCTCAGCGACGTGGACAGGGACGGCATGCTGGACCACGAGGAGTTCGCGCTGGCCGGGCACCTGATCGGGGCCAAGCTGGAGGGGCGCGGGCTGCCCGCCCACCTGCCGCCGCGCCTGGTGCCGCCCTCCAAGAGGCGGCACAAGGGCTCGGCTGAGTGACCCAAAATCCCAGAAATATCGCTGAAAAACCCCCCAAAATTCACCCAGAAATAGCACAAAAATCCACCCAAAATAGCCCAAAAATCCACCCAAAAATGCCCCAAAATCAGGGACTCACGGACGCCGCCGCGCCTGGTGCCGCCCTCCAAGAGGCGGCACAAGGGCTCGGCTGAGTGACCCAAAATCCCAGAAATATCGCTGAAAAACCCCCCAAAATTCACCCAGAAATAGCACAAAAATCCACCCAGAAATAGCCCAAAAATCCACCCAGAAATGCCCCAAAATCAGGGACTCACGGACGCCGCCGCGCCTGGTGCCGCCCTCCAAGAGGAGGCACAAGGGCTCGGCGGAGTGACCCCAGAAATCTCATTGAAATCCCAAAAATCTCATTGAAAAAAACCCAAAAATCTCCCAAAAATCCACCCAAAAATCCACCCAGAAATAGCACAAAAATCCACCCCGAAATAGCCCAAAAATCGCCCAAAATCAGGGACTCGCAGACGCCGCCGCGCCTGGTGCCGCCCTCCAAGAGGCGGCACAAGGGCTCGGCTGAGTGACCCAAAAATGCCAGAAATATCGCTGAGAAACCCCCCAAAATCCACCCAAAATTCCACCCAGAAATACCCCAGAAATGGAAATCTCATTGAAATCCCAAAAATCTCATTGAAAAAAACCCAAAAATCTACCCAGAAATAGCCCAAAAATCCACCCAGAAATGCCCCAAAATCAGGGACTCGCAGACGCCGCCGCGCCTGGTGCCGCCCTCCAAGAGGAGGCACAAGGGCTCGGCTGAGTGACCCAAAATCCCAGAAATATCGCTGAGAAACCCCCAAAAATCAACCCAAAAATCCACCCAGAAATACCCCAGAAATATCCCAAAAATCCACCCAGAAATCCCCCAAAAATCCCCCAAAACCAGGGACCCCCAATAAAGGCAGAGCGAGGCTGAAGGATCTGTCCTGAATTTTGGGGTGAGGGGGAAAATTTGGGGGATTTGGGGCTCATTTTTGGGGGGATTTGGGGCCCATTTTGAGAGGATTTGGGGCTTATTTTTGTGGGATTTGGATCTTATTTTTTGTTGGGATTTGGGGCCCATTTTGGTGGAATTTGGGGCTCATTTTGAGGGGATTTGGGGCTCATTTTGGGGGGATTTCAGGTACATTTTTGGGGGATTTGGGGCTCATTTTTAGGGGATTTGGGGCTCATTTTTGGGGATATTTGGGACATGTTTTGGGGAGGATTTGGGGCCCATTTTGAGGGGATTTGGGGCTTATTTTTGGTGGGATTTGGGGCTCATTTTGAGGGGATTTGGGGCTCATTTTGGGTGGGATTTGGGGCTCATATTTTGGTGGGATTTGGGGCCCATTTTGAGGGGATTTGGGGCCCATTTTGAGGGGATTTGGGGCTTATTTTTGGTGGGATTTGGGGCTCATTTGGGGGGCATTTAGGGCTCACTTTTGGGGATATTTAGGGCACATTTTGGGGGATTTGGGGTCACTGCGCCCCCTCACTGCTGATGGGCCCCGACCTCACCAAGATGGCGTCAAGCCCGTCCAAACCCTTCTCAAAATGGCGCCTCATCTCTTCCGGTCCTCCCAAAGATGGCGACGCCTCCATTTCCTGCTCTTCCCGAAACAGCAATGACCTCGTTTCCGTCCCTTACCAAGATGGCGACGAAAGCGTTTCCGCCCTTCCCGAAGATGGCGCCCATGTTGTTTACTGTCCTTCACAACATGGCGGCGAGGCCTTTCCTCGCCGCGTTGTTCTGGGACGTTTTGGGCGGGGCTTAGGAGCACATCTGGACGGACTCGTGGCATTTTTGGGGAGGTTCAGCCACATCCGGGCGCGGTTTTACCGCATTTTAAACCCGCTTTTCGCGCACATCTCCGCCCCGCGACCTTCCCAAAATGGCGGCGCCGCTTTGTCACCCCTTCCCTACGATGGCGGCCCCCTTGGCTTCCCGCCCTTTTTCCGGCCGGAAGCCGCCTCAGGCCGCTTCCGGTTCCTTCCCGCCCTCACGCGGCTCCCTCACGAAATGGCGGCGGCCGAGTCGTTCCTCGCCTTCAACCCCGCGGGCCGGGCCGGAGCCGCCGCCGCCTCCCGGCGCCGCTCCCGCGGGCCCCGCAACCGCAAGAAGGGCTGGAAGCGCTGGAGCGGCCCCGAGGCGCGGCTGGGCCGCGGGTGGTGATGAAGGACAAGGCCAAGTACGACGAGATCTTCTACGGGCTGGCGCCCAGCGGGGGCAAGCTGAGCGGGCGGCGGGCCAAGGGCTGGATGGTGGCCAGCAACCTGCCCAGCTCGGTGCTGGGCCGCATCTGGCAGCTCAGCGACGTGGACAGGGACGGCATGCTGGACCACGAGGAGTTCGCGCTGGCCGGGCACCTGATCGGGGCCAAGCTGGAGGGGCGCGGGCTGCCCGCCCACCTGCCGCCGCGCCTGGTGCCGCCCTCCAAGAGGCGGCACAAGGGCTCGGCTGAGTGACCCAAAAATGCCAGAAATATCGCTGAGAAACCCCCAAAAATCAACCCAAAAATCCACCCAGAAATAGCCAAAAATCTACCCAGAAATGCCCCAAAATCAGGGACTCGCAGACGCCGCCGCGCCTGGTGCCGCCCTCCAAGAGGAGGCACAAGGGCTCGGCTGAGTGACCCAAAATCCCAGAAATATCGCTGAGAAACCCCCAAAAATCAACCCAAAAATCCACCCAGAAATACCCCAGAAATATCCCAAAAATCCACCCAGAAATCCCCCAAAATCAGGGACCCCCAATAAAGGCAGAGCGAGGCTGAAGGATCTGTCCTGAATTTTGGGGTGAGGGGGAAAATTTGGGGGGGATTTGGGGCTCATTTTTGAGGGGATTTGGGGCTCATTTTGGGGGGATTTCAGGTACATTTTTGGGGGATTTCAGGTACATTTTTGGGGGATTTGGGGCTCATTTTTAGGGGATTTGGGGCTCATTTTTGGGGATATTTGGGACATGTTTTGGGGAGGATTTGGGGCCCATTTTGAGGGGATTTGGGGCCCATTTTTGGGGATATTTAGGGCTCATTTTGAGGGGATTTCGGGCCCATTTTGAGGGGATTTGGGGCCCATTTTGAGGGGATATTTAGGGCTCATTTTGGTGGGATTTGGGGACGATTTTTGGGGGATTTGGGCATTGTTTTGGGGGGATTTCAGGCTAATTTTTGTGGATATTTGGGGCTCATTTTTGGGGAGATTTGGGGCTCATTTTGAGGGGATTTGGGGCTCATTTTGGGGATATTTGGGGCACATTTGGGGGAGGATTTGGGGCCCATTTTGGTGGGATTTGGGGCCCATTTTGAGGGGATTTGGGACTTATTTTTGGTGGGATTTGGGGCTTATTTTGGTGGGATTTGGGGGTCATGTTTGGTGGCATTTGGGGCCCATTTTCAGGGGATTTGGGGCTCATTTTGAGGGGATTTCAGGCACATTTTCGGGGGATTCGGGGCTCATTTTTGGGGCATTTAAGGCTCATTTTTAGGGGGATTTGGGACCCATTTTGAGGGGATTTGGGGCTCATTTTGAGGGGATTTCAGGCACATTTTCGGGGGATTCGGGGCTCATTTTTGGGGCATTTAAGGCTCATTTTTAGGGGGATTTGGGACCCATTTTGAGGGGATTTGGGGCTCATTTTTGGTGGGGTTTGGGGCCCATTTTGAGGGGATTTGGGGCGTATTTTTGGGGGGATTTGGGGCTCATTTTGGGGAATATTTGGGACACGTTTTGGGGCCCACTTTAAGGGGATTTGGGGCTCATTTTTGAGGTATTTCAGGCACATTTTTGGGGGGAGTTGGGAAACATTATTGGGGCATTAAGGGGTCATTTTTTAGGGGATTTGGGGCTCATTTTGGGGGCATTTAGGGCTCACTTTTGGGGATATTTAGGGCACATTTTGGGGGATTTGGGGTCACTGCGCCCCCTCACTGCTGATGGGCCCCGACCTCACCAAGATGGCGTCAAGCCCGTCCAAACCCTTCTCAAAATGGCGCCTCATCTCTTCCGGTCCTCCCAAAGATGGCGACGCCTCCATTTCCTGCTCTTCCCGAAACAGCAATGACCTCGTTTCCGTCCCTTACCAAGATGGCGACGAAAGCGTTTCCGCCCTTCCCGAAGATGGCGCCCATGTTGTTTACTGTCCTTCACAACATGGCGGCGAGGCCTTTCCTCGCCCCGTTGTTCTGGGACGTTTTGGGCGGGGCTTGGGAGCACATCTGGACGGACTCGTGGCATTTTTGGGGAGGTTCAGCCACATCCGGGCGCGGTTTTACCGCATTTTAAACCCGCTTTTCGCGCACATCTCCGCCCCGCGACCTTCCCAAAATGGCGGCGCCGCTTTGTCACCCCTTCCCTACGATGGCGGCCCCCTTGGCTTCCCGCCCTTTTTCCGGCCGGAAGCCGCCTCAGGCCGCTTCCGGTTCCTTCCCGCCCTCACGCGGCTCCCTCACGAAATGGCGGCGGCCGAGTCGTTCCTCGCCTTCAACCCCGCGGGCCGGGCCGGAGCCGCCGCCGCCTCCCGGCGCCGCTCCCGCGGGCCCCGCAACCGCAAGAAGGGCTGGAAGCGCTGGAGCGGCCCCGAGGCGCGGCTGGGCCGCGAAATCGGCGATTTCCTGGAGGATGTGGGGCTGCAGGAGCGAGCGGCGGGGTGAGCGGGGCCCGAGGGGGTCCTGAGGGGATTTGGGGGGGTCCTGAGGGGATCTGGGGGGGTCTCAATGGAATATGAGGGGTCCTGAGGGGATTTGAGGGGATCTCAATAGGATTTCAGGGGTCCTGAGGGGATCTGGGGGAGTTTCAGTGGGATTTGAGGAGTCCTGAGGGGGTTTGGGGGGGTCCTGAGGGGATTTGGGATTTCAGGGGTCCTGAGGGGATCTGGGGGAGTTTCAGTGGGATTTGAGGAGTCCTGAGGGGGTTTGGGGGGGTCCTGAGGGGATTTGGGGGATC